TTCCTGCCTTTTGCCTCCATGTGTATATCTCCAGGGCATTCACTTTGCATACATGATTCTGTATCCTGCTTTCCCCATTATGGGACCCTTTTCATTTTATTAAAAATTATTCTATCTTCTACAATGAGTCAAAATTCTTCCTTCCTTCCTTCCTTCCTTCTTCTCTCTCTCTCTCTCTCTCTCTCTCTCTCTCTCTCTCTCTCTCTCTCTCTCCCTTTCTTTCTTGCAGTACTAGGGCTTGAACTCAGGGCCTACACCTTGAGCCACTCCACCAGGCCATTTTTATGGTAGTGGGTTTTTTTGTTGTTGTTGTTGTTTTTTTTTGAGATAGGATCTCATGAACTATTTACCCAGGCTGGCTTTGAACAGCTATCCTCCTGATCTTTGCCTCCTGAGTAGCCAGGATTACAGGTGTGAGCCACCATCACCCAGCCAAAATATTTCTAATTTGGAAAAATAATGGACAATACTGGGAAAATTATTCCCAAAGACTTATGGTGGGAAGAGCCTTTGAAATCCCAAGGGAGGGGCCCCACTCATGGGCCTTGGACTGTGTTCTGGCTGGCTTCCTGGGGAGGGAGGCAGTGGAGCTGAATCCATAGACTCCGCAGTCCTTGGTGAGGGGGGTGGTGTGTCCCTTCGACCCCAAGGACACATTGGTTTTCAGCCCCATTGCTCCAGCCTCTGCTTCCCTTTTCCCATGGCCTTCTCCAAGAGTATCTTCATCTGGCCATCTTCTTACAAGGACACCATCCTTATTGGATTGGCATCCACCCTCCTCCAGTTTGGCCTCATAGCACAGCTCCATGGGCAGCGACTGTTTCAAATCTAGCAACATTCTGAGGCACTGGTGATTAGGACCTTTTCTGGGGTGGTGGAGGGGGCACAATTCAACTCATGCCACCCCTAGTAGAATGTTTGCCTCCCCTTTTTTCAAGTGGGAAAACTATACTTTCAAGGGCTTGAATAATATTTCCAGTCTGCTGAAGCGTTGCACTTAGGATCCGAACCCAGATCTGGCTGCCTCTATCTGTCCATAAACAATAAGAAGAAGGCATACAAACTAGCTTGTGTTTCACCACCCTTCGAACAAATTGCCTTAATCAGAGAAAGGGAAATTTCATGCAGAGATTAATTGGAGCAAAAGAAAAAAGTAGTGAGAGAAAGAGAAGAGAGAGAGAGAAGAAAAAAACATCTACTGGTTCTTGGGATGCTAGTTCCTTGGCTTGAGATAAATTGCCCAGTCTGGGCCACTTCGCCATTTCAGCAATCTTTGGGTCACCGTAGAGACACTGATGGATTGTGTGAGCTTGGCCATTAATCCACACCCATGTGGCCTGGAATTCTCTCCCTGTTTTACATACCTGACCTCCCTCCTCCCGGCACCCTCCCCCCCGATCTCCCACAGATTCTGCCACCACAGCAGGATTTGAAGATGGGGCCTGAAAGTGGCTGAGGAGGATTTTAGTGGCTGGCAGTAACCAGCAGGCTGATAAGATAAGGCCGCAAAGACAAGGAGAGGATGATGGCCATGTTGGTCAAAGTCTGCAACAAAGGCCAGCAGGCAAGGAGCTCCCAGGTCTGAGCCAGGACAGGTAGGAAACTGGCTCAGTATTTTATATCCCAACCCATAGAGCCAAGCCATTCATCAGGCCATGGTGTGTGACACTCCTGTGTTCTCCAAAGCACAGAGAAAGACCTGGTATTGTCCTCTCCCTCCTTTGACAGATCAGGAAATGGAGGGTCATCTGTTCATTCTTTGGGTCCCTGCTGTGTGTGACTCTTGGCCTAGTGCCCAGCCTAGGTAGGACAGGTGGAGAGGTGGGGTAGCATTTAAAAACCGAGGCTTTGGGGTTTTTAAAGATGAGCAGATGTTCAAATCCAGGCTCTCCCCAGGGGACGTTCCTCTCCCATCTGCCTCCTGGGCAAGCTTCAGGAGAGTAGATTCATCTCCTCCCAAGCTACAGCTTGGGAGGGGCAGATTTGGAGTAGACAAGCCTGGGCTTGGGTTTGGGCTGAGACCCTCGCTGCTGGGTGAACTGAGATAGAGGATCAGAGTTCTGGCCAGTGCCCCGTCTAGTGAGGATGAAACCCAGCCTGAATCAGTTTCAGCTAAAGAACAAATACTTTCTGTCACATCTCCAAACCAGGTATTGTGGGTGTTGGTAGATTTGAGGTTACAGAAGGCCAATGTCATAATCTGGGGGGGGACACACATTTCTCCCAGCTTTAACGTATAAGAACTCAGTGAACTGGGCACATGCCCTTCCCTGGACCCAGCACTGTGGATAATGTGATTGAGCCAAGGGTTGCTTTGGAGACCAGTGTCTCACTGCAGCCTACCCCTCTCTGCTATCATGGGCATACATACACGCCTGCCAGCACTTACCTTTACTCACATTAGTTAGGTCGTGCAAACCTTATCTGACATGACCTCCATCCCAGAGACAGCCAAATGCACCTATGTTCAACCTAAGGTGAGAACACCCAAAGTCACATTGCACAACTCCAAGCACAACACACCTGTGTGTTCCTCCCCTCAGGTCTTCATGTAGATTTGTATCATCCAGAAAGAAGCCTCTGGGTCCAAAGGAAGTGAAACTCCCCAAGTGTGAAATGATCAGATGTCAGACCTAGGCCTGAACTTGAAGTGAGACCCTGGCAAGCCACAGGGACTTAGGCGGATTTCATAGCTTCCCATTCCATTTGGAAAAGAGGAAAACAGAAGGCACATCAGGGGTGGTGATCAGAAGATACACTGTGTGCGTAAACTCAGAGTCACCTCGAAGGCAGGCAGATGGGAGAGATGTGATGATCGCTTTCCTCAAGCTTCCTAAGAAGCTTGTGAAGATGGAACTTTTAAAAATTGGACAGGGCTGGGTGGGGGTGGTGACTGAGTGGTGGAGCACCTGCCTGGCGTGCACGAGGCTCCGGGCTCCATCCTCAGTACTGAAACACAGAGAGAGAAGGAGAGAGAGAGAGAGAGAGAGAGAGAGAGAGAGAGAGAGAGCACTAAGGCCCATAATAAAGTAGACAGTATGTGGTGTTCAATACATGATAGTTTCGTCTTTCTTTCATTCTGTCTTTCTGTCTGTCTCTCTCTCTAACACACATACACACACAAACACACAAACACACACACACACTCCTGATTTGATGACAAAGATCTCATGTTACCAAAATAAAGTACCCTCCCCTGCCCTCTCCTCTTCTCTCTTCTCCACCCTTCCTCCTCCTCTTGTTCTTTCTCCCCCCTCTCTCCCTCCACCTCTACCTTGTCTCTGTCCTCCAGCCCATCCCACCACACCCCACAGCCATGGGCACCCAGTCCTCTAATGAATGACTGAACTAAAGCTGGAAGGGCCCTCTCCCAGCCTGGGGGAGCAGCGTCCTCCTGCTGGGGTCAAGAGGCTGCCATTCTGTCTGGGATAGGCAGGGCCTACATTGTTGAACAAGAGTACAGCTAAGTCATGGGCCCTCCAGAGTTGACACATCTGATGTTTCCTTTAAGGATGGACTGTTCTTAGTAGATCACTTCACCTCTGCTTAGGGCAGAAGTCAAGGTGGCCGAGGTTGAGATCCATCTCCAGTGGACAGCAGCCAGACAGGGAGAGTGACCAGGTGGCATTTAGTATTTCCCCTCCTACTCTCTGTGCAGGCCATTTCATTCCAAGGGCTGCCTGGATCTACTTCCAAGTGGAGTAGCGGGACGAGCTGGTGTCAGGGTTCCATGACCTGGATTTAAATCTTTCCTCAGCCTCCAGTGGATCTCAGGCAGCCAGGTCACCTTTCTGGTCCTCTAAGAAAAGAGTGTGAGAAGCCAATGCTGCCCGCTTCTTAGAGGGCTCTGCAAAGTCCCTGTCTCAAGATGCAAGCAGTTCAGAACATGGGTTGTATGGCCAGGTTGCTTGGGTCCAATTCTGGCATCCTCTGTACAAACTCTGTTACCTTGAGCAAGTGACTTAACTTCTCTGGGCCTCTATTTCCTCTTCTGTATGGAATGGGAACAGTATTCTCATAGAAGCACTGTAACAACTCAATGAGATGTGCGTAAAGCGCTTGTTAAAACACGTATTCAGATAATAATTTTAAGAAAAAATGAGAAGGGACTATATAAACTCTAAAGTGTCATCATGGTATATGAGAGTTACTATTTGCCATGAAGGACGAGAAAATGTTTATTACTTCAAGAAAACTAAGTGTATGGTTCAGTATTGGATGGTTGTATATAAATTGAGATTGCTCTTTGGATGGAAGCTATCACCTTGGAGACAAACTGTAAAGTACCTCCCCAGCACTGTGAATGGCCTGTTTCTTATTCTACTCACTTGACTTTTGTGCCTGTTATATGCAGGACTCTGTGGTAGAAACATTTACACAAATCATTCCATTTGAACCTTATTGGATAGGTATTTTCCCTCCCCCAAAGGAAAACCTGGCTCTCAGGGGTTGACCTGCTTAAATTCCCTAGGCCAGGGTAAGAAGGTGGTCAACATGAAAAGAGGACCTAGACTTTGAGACATCCATGGCCAATGCACTTTCCAAGGAAGAGTGAGCACCTTGAGGTGGCCTGTAGAGACCGTGAGAGGCCAACACATGGTGGTGGCTCCTTTAGTGTTGGTTCCATGGGAGCCTCGCTCCTGGGAATGAAGGAGGGTCCGTTTGGGGCTTAGGGAGTAAGCCCCAAACCCACATCAAAGCCCTTGATGTGGGTTGCTGGGTGCCCAGTTGTCACTTTGGGAAACCCCAAGCTTTAGTGTTGGCCTTATCCGCAGAAGGGTCCCTCCTGTTCCTTGTCAGTCTGAAAGTGAGACCCTCACCCATTGCTCTCCAATGCCCTGACCAGGCTCCACCAAGGGCTATAATTTGCAGTCTACTGATTGTGCCTACTTGTTGGTACTAAAAGCTCAACAAGGCCATACAGACAAAACTACATAGTGGCTTCCTCCTCTAACCAGGTTTGTCCTCAGCCAAACTTGACTCTTCTCCTTTTCCCAAAGCCAAGTACATCGGCTGCTACCTGGATGATACACAGAGTCGGGCCCTGCGAGGCGTGTCCTTTTTTGACTATAAAAAGATGACCATCTTCCGTTGCCAGGACAACTGTGCTGAAAGGTAGGATGCTGACATCCCCAGACCTGTCCATCTCAACCCATCGCTTCTGGATTTCCTGCTGTGGTGTGCTTGGCCTTGCTGTGGGAGGGAGTGTTAGAGGGTGAGCACAGGACCACAAGGAAAGGGGATGCAGGGGTGTGTGTGTGTGTGTGTGTGTGTGTGTGTGTGTGTGTGCACGAGCAGGGTTGTTCCAGAGCTGGTCTATGGGAGTTTGTGATTGTGCAATTGTGTGAGAGTGTTCCTAGGAATGAGTGTGTAGTGTACAGTGGATGGGCAAGGTCAGCTGGTTATGTTTGTGAGTTGATTCTGAGACCTGATTGCCTTTACATAAAGTGCATATGTGTCTTTGTGAATACATGTGCAAGCATGCAGAGTTGTGTTTGTGTGTGCAGGTAACCGTTTGCATTGCTGAATGTGCAGTACTGCGTTGAAAATGTGCAAGGTTGTCAGGAATCACACAGGTTGGAAGCACACAGTCATGTGCACATGTGCACACAGGTGACAATCTGTAAATGTGAGCTTGTGAGGTGTCTGTGTGAAGGGTCAGGTGGTGGCTCAGGTATTGGGACTATCTAATGATTTTCAGCATAGGGACCCTTTGTTTTTCTCTCAGGGAGAAACACCCCTTCACAACATGCCCTGTGGAGAGGGAGTTGACTTTTCAAAAGTCAATGAATCCTGGCTGAGCATGGTGGTACACACCTGTAATCCCAGCACTAGAGAGCCTGAGGTAGAAGGATTATGAGTTTGAGACCAGCCTGGGCTATGTTGTGAGTTCCAGGCCAGCCTGTGCTACATAGCAAGATCTTGACTCAAATAAATACCAACAACAAAAAAAAAAGAGTGGCCAAGTCCCCAGAGGGCTGGTGAACTGGACACCTGGGGTCCTGAGGCTGAGCTGAGCATCTCCTCCCCTTGTCTCCTGATCCCTGACCTCATGGTGGCTCACAAGGAGGCCTCTGACCCACTCATCTGCAGATGGCAGCTGGCTGGCACCAATGCTCACAGCTCTGTGACCTCAGCTGCTGGCTGGTGTGGAAATGGGCAGGTGGGTGGCAACTGAGGAACCCTTTCCACTGTTCCTGGTTAGGAAACACTGTCCCTTTTACACCTACCATTATAGTCGTGGGCCCAGGGTCCTCCCCAGCTTGGGAAGGGCTATGAGTCCTTGACCACAGGGATTTATGGACTTGCTTGTAAAACCTGGTGGACACTAGGGTAGATTCCATGAAGCCCCTGCCCTCAGGGGAGGCAGGTGAGCAAACAGAAAGGACAAAACACTGAGGTAAAGAGGAGGTGGCATGGTGCCAGGCAGGTGTCAGGAAGGACTTCTTGGAGGAGTTGAGAGCAGAGAAGCAACTCAGGCAGTTCAACTTAGTTTGGCATATGCTGGACCAAGTGCAAGTGCTGGGGACAAGTCGGCCACAGCCCTGCCTTCAGAGGCTCCCTGCTCAGCCAGGGAAATAGAGGCACAAACAGGTTTGAGCAATGGAATAGCAACTGCTTGTACTTAGGAAGCTGTTGCTGTGTGTCCAGCACTGTCCTCTTTAATGTCACAAGACCCCTCCTGGGCGGGAATGTTGGGAAGCACATCCCACAGGTGAGGAAACCAGGATACAGACATGAAGTATGATGGATGCTGAGTCAGGAATGCTGTACAGAAGGGTTTAGGTGGAAGGAATGGAGGATTCCATATGGGTGGCTCAGGACGAATGACAAAGGTGAGCTGGGATTTGAAGGATGAATAGGAGTTTTCTAGGGAGTCAGAGTCAAGTGGAAAGCATCACATCTTGAACCAGGAAGCAGAGAGAAAGAAAAGGCCCAGGCTTACTGCTTTTAGGGTTGAATAAGAACTACCTTAATCCCTTTCAAGGCTATGTCTTCAGTGACTCCAAAGGTGGCCCAGTAGGCCCCAACTCTTAAAAGTTTCACCACTTCCCAATAGCACCATGCTGTAGACCAACATGTCTCTTGGGGGACCCTCTGACCATAGCTAGACCATAGCACCTAGGAACCATTGCACATGCAATCACTGTTAGTCAGCTCTCTGTCACTATAACAAAATGCCTGAGATAATTAACTTATAAAGAGAAAAGGTGTATTGCAGCTCATGGTTTCGAAGGTTCCGTGATCAGTTGTCCTCCTTGTTTGGGACCTGTGGCGAGACAGCATATCATGGCGGGAGCGTGTGACAAAGCAAAGCCTCTCATCTCTTAGCCAGGAAACAAAAGAGAGGAAGAGGAAGGGGCCAGAGACCCACAAGTCCCTTCAAGGGCATGTCCCAATGACCTAAGGACGTCCACTAGTCCCCCCTACCCCCTGAAAGGTTTCAGCACCTCCCAGTGACAACACCCTGGGGACCAAGCCTTCAATACACAGGCTTTGGGAGACATTCCAGATCCAAGCCATAGCACCGTCTCTTCCACCACCTCCTGTCATTAGGAGTCACTCAGTCAAGCCCAAGGTGGGGGGGGGGGGGGGGGAGGAGAATTAGACTCCGCCTCTTATTTAAGAGCACATTTTTAAACCCCTAGCCCTCCAAACCTGGGAACCTTCCCAGCACACTTGCTGCTGCCCTGGTCCAGAACCAGGACTATTCTCCCTGCACCTCAGTTCTCTTCCTTCCCAGCTTCAACCTCCCTGCCTCCGCATGATGGCTGTCTCTTGCTTTGGAACTGCTAATACCCACCAGGCCCTTTTTGGGGGAGACATTGCTTCTCTCAGTGGGCTCCATCCAAGCAGAGGGGCCCCAGGGACAGGGGAGAACCAGGGACAGAGAGACTGAGATAGTAGATTAAGGATGCACACCCAGCCCTGGATGGTACCAGCGCTCAGGCTCCAAGGTGCCCAGTTCATGGAAGGTGCTCTTGCACATCTGCCTGGGTGAGCAGGTGTGGGGGCGAGGTCACCAGCCATGCATCTGGGTGGGTCTGTCTCTCTAGCCAATGCCGTGTGATACAGGAGATGCGATTGACCCTTCACTGGTGACGCCTCATGTGACCTGCTTTGCAGGCAGCTGAGGAGCCATTCTGGCTCTGGAGAATGTCTCACAGGCCACTGTGAGTGAAGGGGCAGAACAAGGTTGTCATAGTCCCCTCCCTCCCTCCCTCGTCGCCAGAGCCAGAGCCCTAGTGCTAATTTCGCTTGTTTATAGACTGGTCTCCACTGAGCATCCTTTTTAGGAAAGGATTCCACGGCTATGAAAAAAAAGAGTTGAAAACCTTGCAGTGCCTGGATTGTTTTGCTGTTTTAGGGGAAGGAATTTTTTCCTTGGCGGGTATGTGAGCTGGGTTTTGCCATCTTGCAAAAGGCTACAAGGGTCCCTTCACCTCGTACAACATGGACTTGCCCCAGATCCTCTGGAAAGACACAGAGATGTCATTCCTGGGTGGTGATTCCTGTTGCAAAAGGGCTGAATCCTGCAGAGATGAATGTCATATGTCCCCAGATGCAGAAGAGCAAGGGAGTGGGGCAGCGGGAGACCTCAAGGTCTGGGGTATGTGGCAGGTGTGCTGTGTGGAGGAAGTGAGTGTGAATGTGGACATGGTGTGTCTGTGTGGGCAGAGTATAGGCAGTGCTGAGGGCAGGTGCGTGGTTCCTGGGGTGTCCAGTTCCTTCCCTGGGGTTTCCCTGTCTCTGAATTCCTTCTTGGTTTTCCTGACCCCCCATCTCCCAAGGCTCTCTAATTTCTAGGCCTCCCTGCCTCTTCCACCCCATGGTCTCCCTTTGCCCCTTCCCAGTCTCATCATTTCTTAGGGTCCCCTGTTTCCTAGGCCCTGGTCTCCCCAGCCTCCATACTGGGTGGGTCCCTTACCCCTGTGGTCTCCAGGTCCTGTGGCCACACTCCCATCTGTGGTCCCTCCTGGAGACTCCCTGTCCCCAGGGCTCCATGGTGGCCTCTGCCCTGCCTGACAGTAGCCTCCCGCAGGGGTTACCTGTATGCTGGGCTGGAGTTCGGTGCTGAGTGCTACTGTGGCCACAAGATCCAGGCGGCAAACGTGAGCGAGACAGAGTGCGACATGGAGTGCAAGGGTGAACATGGCAGTGTGTGCGGTGGCGCCAACCGGCTCTCCGTCTACCGGCTGCAACTGGCCCAGGAGTCGGCCCGCAGGTGTACGTGAGTTGGCCCTGCCCCTCTGCTGCTCTGTCCTCAGTCACAGGCCAGACTAAGGGGTCATCCCCAGTGTCTGCCCTGCACTTTGTATGGCTCTCCATTATTTTGAGGCCACCACTGGCCTGTGTCACCTCGACTCCCACCCAGCCCAGTGTTCTCACCTCCTTGCTCTCTGCTGCCTCCTGCACCAGCTGCTCCCTCATTGTCACCATCTTCCTCTTTCTGAGGCAGAGTTGAAGCCTGAGCTTCCTGATTGTCTCCAGTGATGATGATGACAATGACATGAACAAACCCTTTGTCCTTTCCTGAGCACCTGATATGAAATAGCTCAGATGGTCTACCCAATGACCCTTGGAACAGGTGCTAGTATTTACTCATTCCTTTTCACAGAGAAGGAAACTGAGCCTCACTGTCACATAGCTGGCAAGTGGCAGAGCATTTAAACCAACTCCAGAGCTTGTCCAGCTCTCTAGGGAGAATCCATCAGGGTGTGTCCATGCTTCTGGCTTGAAACTTGTTGGGGAAACTCTCCAGCTCCCCAACTAAGGAAAAGAAGGTGCCAGATGGAGAGGACACATGCCAGCTCTCTTCCATAGGCAATGCCCTGTCCTTGGCCCCTCCTGAGGGAGATGGTGTTTAAAAGCAGTTAATAACTGTCTGTCAAGAGTCCACTGCATGCACTGTACTGAGCCGACGTCACGCGTGATTTCATTTTCCTTCCCTACAGTCTTTTCAGGTAATTGCCATTCGTAATTATCCCCTTTTACATGAGGAGACTGAGGCTTGGGGAATTTAAATAAACCTGCTGAAGGTCACAGCTAATTCCAGGTGACCTTCAGAGCCACAAAAAGAACTAATAGGTATGGTGAAGGATGGGGGCGGGGGCTGGGCTTTCTGGAAACTACTGCCGATCCACAGGCAGAAACAGGACCATTTTTGTAAGCCTTTGACCAGCATTTCCCCAACTTCAATGCGCCTGAGACTTCCCCAGGAATTCTGGTTAAAATGTAAATTCTGGTTCAGCACATCTGTGAGGTTCCACATTTGTAAGGCACTCACAGGAGAAGCCAGCATCCTTGAATATGAGGTTAGACCTCCAAGCAGCTCACCTAGAGTTCAGTCCTGCCCATACAGGTGGGCTTGACAGAAAGTTAACCCCCGTCTGTTTGCTGAAAAGGGCCTCTTCTATGTGAATTTTATTGCTTATAAAAATGGACTGCCTGAGAGTATATTTAGTGCTTCAGATCCCATATGTTTGAAGCCCCAATACAATCTTCACTCTACAATAAATAGGGCTGTACATGCTACTATTTGCAGATGTGCTAGGTTTCTACAAATGGATTGCACTGACTACCTCTCCAGAGTCAACTCCATTCAGGTCTGTCAGCCTGGCAGGCAGAGGGCAGAGGTGGTGCGGACAACCCAGGCTGGAGAACATCCACACAGTGGGTTTCTGGTTTGGTCAGTAGTGTAGTGAGTGTTTAATCCAATAATGGATTTGTTATCCTCACACCTGATATCCATGGTGCCAATATTTACAATATTTATGTAATTTGATTATTACATTTGACCATCTGAAGAGATGGCTTCAAAGTATTGAGGCACTTAGAGGGAAAGCTGTCACCACTAAAATACACTGTGGTGAAACTGAGACAGGTGACAAGATTGGAGGGGGGTGCAGTCACTAGCCAGGCATTAGTCAGACCTCCTTTTTGGTAATGTTCAGTTGGCTACAAAATCTGAAAATTCTTCCTATCTCTCCTCCTCCTCCTTTTCTGTCTCTCTCTCTCTCTCTCTCTCTCTCTCTCTCTCTCTCACGCACACACACAATTGTGATCACCTGATATAATAACACCTTCATTGACCATCAAAGACTTCTCTATTAGCTGAAATATATGTGTCTCACCACACAGATCACTGGAGTCTGCTACCACAAGTGTTTTGTACAAGTGGCAGGAGGAGGATGGGTGGTTGCTAGGGAGCAGTCCCTGAGCCTAGCAGGGATACTGCTGCAACCCCCTGACTTGCCCATCTCTGTGGTGGTGGAATTATGATAGGTGGGACATTGTACCATCTAAGAAAAGCATGTTTGCATTTTTTTCCAAGAGGAAGATCACAATAATTTCTTCTGTGAGTGGAGTCCTGGATTCTCCAAGTCCAGCACCGTTGCTCGGAATTGTCGCTGTGCAAGGATTGAAGCATGAGCACCTTCAGCTGGGAAATGGAATCCTCATGAGCCTCAATAAGACCAGAATGGGGCAGTGTAGATAAGAAGACAGATGGGGGGCTCCAGTTGGCCACATGGTATATGAAAAGAGGACTGGGAACTTTAATTGAATCGGGGCACTTGGTGGACTTCTGTGTAGACTAGGTGTAGGGAAGCTCAGGGGGGGATGAAGAAAAGTCCCTAACCCCAAGGAAGTCACCATCTGGTGGGCAACAGACACGGTATCAGTGGGATTAGTTTAGCAATGAAAGTGTGTACAGAGCACTGTGGGGGGTCTGCCTACAAGAGCTGAGGGAGTCACATCTGAGCTGAACCTCATTCTTAAGGAGACTCCATGTGTTCCAGCCATGCGCAGAAGCCCAGAGCCAGCAAAGATCATGTGTCAAATGCCACCTTCCTCATCTATATCTCCAATTTACACTTGCAGAAACTAAGGCACAGAGAGCAAAAGTGACTCCATTGGACAGTCCTGGAAAAGACACCAAAGAGGAGGGCACATTCAGTGAGGGCCTTGAGAGATCGTATGATTCTGCCTGGTGGAAAAGGGAAGGGTCTACGGCCATAGCACCCTGAACGTGCCCGACGTTGTCTGATCTCAGAAGCTAAGCAGGGTCTGGCCTGGTTAGGACTTGAATGGGAGAAGGGGAATGTACCTGGACTCAAGACATGTGGTCAAGGAATGAGAGAGAAATCTAGGCAATTCCAGTCAGTCAAGTATTCAAACACCTAGAGGCAATCTGGGGAAATAGTTGGCTAGCAAGATTTTTGTAAGGAAACCATACCTCTCAGGGACTGAGAACCCAGATCTCTGACACCCAGTTTGGGTGCCCGCTTACCATAGCAGTGGAGACACCCTAGCTCCTTGAATCAGATTCAAGATCCCATTTCCTCTTTAGGCAGGGGGAGGGTGACTCCTTGACTGCAATCTAGCTCCTCCCTTCCCTGAGTCCTGACCCCTCTTGCCTTATCTCCTGACTCTAAGCAATATGAAATATCCAATGTCTTTGCTCTGACTCAGTGGCACCCTTGTCTTCCCATACCTGGAATCTGTCTTATATTAGATAAATCAGCAAGGGATACCTTCCAGGTCGCTGGCATATGGCCCTAGCACGTATTACATCAGGCAGGAAAATGAGCAAATGCTCCAGGAAGCAGCTATGGTGGAAACCATTCCATTTGTAGACTCATTAGCTGAATTAACACTGTCTTCTAATTGTATTTCCCTGAGCACTGGCATGGAACTCTTTCTGATTGGAAAGACCCAAAGGAGGCTTTATTATCTCCCAAGCACTGTACTGATTGGACATCTGCCTTGTGTAGGGAGACAGCCCACGTGTTTCTGAGGTGATGGAATATTCCTACAGTAGCAAAAGCATTAAAAGGTTGGCAGAGGGAATGTCTGCAGGCACCCTGCTCCTCCACCTTGACACAGACTCACAGGCATGGGGGCTGTTTGCTCTTGTTACAGAAGAACAACAAAATGAACTTCCTTCGTGGTTGAATTACATTTTTCACAGCAGTGAAATGTCGGCAATGTAGCTCTCCTCCCAGAGGGAAGGCCCTGATGGTGATTTAAGAAAATTATGACTTTATAGGATGTCACAAAGATTTCATTTGCCTGAAAGATTCTTGCAAGATTTGGGTCACAAGGTTCATTAGAACTGCGCTGAGCTGCCTTGTGGGTCTCTTGGTGGCTGTCCATGGTACTGACAACCCTGTAGAGAGGATGAGACACTCATGACTGTAAACCCGCCTCTCCCAGGACCCAGCCTCGCTTTCCTCTTGGGTGTTTGTTTGTCGCACCCTATCTTGATGAAGGTGACATAAATCTTACACTTTCACTGAAGAAATGGACCCCCATTTTATGCTTCACAACAGATAAGGGCATATTTTGTGTACAGTGTATTTTGGTCATGGCAATTTTTTGTCTTTGAAAGTTAGGAGAGTTTTGTGCAACATTTGTGTTTTGTGCTCACTGGTACTCCATCTGCAGTACTCCAGTGGAGGGGAACCTCAGACCACCCAGGACAGCCACATTTCTTTGCCAGGCCTCAACATATGTCTGCAACTCCCACATTTTATAATTCATACAAGACTTCATAGATTCTTCTGTGCAGGACCAAGGGAGTAATAGAACAATTTTCTCTTTCTGCATCCTAATGGTGAGAACTGGCTTGTGTTTCGACCCCAACCAATGTCCAGCAGGGCAGGAAGATATCAGGGGCTATGTAGGTTTGGAGTCAGGCAGATCTTGCTGTGTTTACTCTGGTCAACCCACTGATTCCCTCTGAGCCTCAGGTGACTTATCTGCAAAATGGGCACAAAATTCCAAGTTTCACAAATTGTTGTGACCACCAAATGAGGTAAAGTCTAGAATGTATCTAGCAACACGCCTACTGTTGAGTGGTCCCCCCTATTCGAAAGGTAGCCATCCAGTTTACAATAAGAATCACCCAGTTCAAGCTATTTGAATTCCTAACAGCCTACAGGAGCCTTTAGGGTCTAAAAATAGCAAGCTTGAATTCTCCTTGGACAGCGAGGGTCTTTGTGCAATTCAGTCTCTCGGCTTGTAGTTAGCTAGGTAGCCATGAACAGCTTCCAGCTCACTGCTGGTCCTCCTCACCGGCGTCTTTAATGCAGTCGAGCTTGGCCTAATTACCCAGGGAGTGGTGGCCTCTTTCAAGCCAACGAGGACTCTTCTATGTCTGCACCTGAGCTGATACCTAGTGACATTTACCTCATTTTTGTGAAGCACTAGAACAAAGAGATGAT